AGAGAGAGAGAGAGAGAGAGAGAGAGAGAGAGAGACGTTTCGTATAACATACAATTATAAATGATAGACGATCGTGCTGTACAAAACGAATATAGAAAATTTACATAGTATAGAAAACCACGAGCGATGAATTAGAGCCACACATTCATGCGATTGCAAATATTGCAGACTCGAAATATCAGCGCGAACTGTAAAGTAACTGTTAAATAGGCTTTATTGATTTTAGGCGTTCATCGGTAAATTCTGGCCGTTTGTACTAGTAACAGTAAATTCAATCCAACTCTATTTGCTGGCCGACTGTTTCATTAGATAACGATTACCGTCGGCAAACGCGCGTTTGTAGGTAAAGCAAACGATACTCGAACGTTATATCCGAAGCCTCTCGGTTTATGTACGCGCAATTATTATGCAGGCCGTGCACACGGTGTGTGCGGCCCATTACGCATCGCATGCGTATCACACAATTAATTTATGTAGATACGCGCGCGTCGTAATCGCGCACGCATACCGCTGCATTGTTGTTGCAGAATATCGCGTTGCGCGACGCTCCTTCTATTTCTCGTTCCCGCTCCCTTTCTCGAAAGACTTCATCTATAATTGCATTAGTTAATACGTATCTTCGCACATTATGAAACGCAGTTTTACATAGTACGCCAAGTTCTACAGTTGCTCGTTATCTTTGCTCAATCATGCACTATAAATACGATAAAATTGGAGGCTTATAAAAAGAATGGTAGCAAAAAGTATAGGTTAATAAGTAAGAGAAAACGTATAAGAGGATCAAATTATTAAAATATTTGTATTTTTATTTAATTTTAATGTTATCTTTATTTAATTAGTCAAACAACTTATTTTAATAAGAGTTATTTATAGGTACGAGTATTAATTATTTTCTTGTAAATATCTACATATTAAAAGTTGAGAAAATTTGAAAATAAGATTTTGCAAAAAATTGTATAAAATATTTTTCTCATAAATTTTTGTTTCAAATAGTAATTCACTCTTTTGTTTTTATTATAATCTTTATATTAATTACTATTACAGCAATAATGTCACAATTTTAACAAAGCGCACTGGCGAACCCTGACATTAATCATATTACGATTAATGCAAACTTGACAAATGATGAACGTACATACGCACACACACTCACGCAGTTGTTGGTCGAGCAAAGGTAATTGATATGAGTCTCTCGTATCGACGCAACACGTGTGAAAGGTATAATTGCACCGTGCTGTCGCTGCGAAAAGTGTAATTTGATGACAAT